TGTACCTACCTAAATATATTATATAAGAAACCGGCTGTCCGCCCACCAATGACTCAGTGATATTATTTCAATTCGGCTTAAGAGGATTGCATGTACTGATACAACACACAAATGTACTGTGTCCAGTGTTTCTGTTTATCGTAAACGAGCGTTAGTATAATAATATTCCAAGAAATATCCATCTGGACTTCAGATTGGGGTTTTAAAGAACAATATATTTTTTGACACGTCTGGCTATAGTAATAGTACTTGATAGAACAACATTATTTTGAGATCTGTAGCATAATTATTAAAAAAACTATGATTAAAAGAACGAAAAAATTAACAAAATGTATCAAAGTCACCCCAATTTATGGTAGTTAACTATTCCGTTTTCACATATACAAATAATAGGTTAGATAACCTACCTATTATATACCTACAATTGTCTATTTTCCAAATGTGGGCTAATTTATCAAGTGACACCACTAAACCAACAAATTAATCATAAATGAACTAACTATACACGATACACATAGGTACACAACCTAACATCAAACCGCAGCCAAAGCATATTGGGCAAATGTTTCTTCAAGACTATTTTTGAAACCAAAAATGAATCTTAATAATTTAATATACCTAATTTAGATATTATGCGAACTTAACAAGAGTCAACATTATTCATACAAAATTCGGTACTCGTGTAGTATTATGGTATCTACCGCTGTATATATTATAATCTACATTTACTGTCAAATATATGACATTCATACAACTCTAATATACTATTTTATATTTTTATTTAATTTTATTACGGGAAGGTACCTGTGACTTGTGTTATTAAGGTAAACAAAATGTTATAACGATCAATGGTCAAACAATACTATAATAGCTAAATAGCTATTATAATGTATACTGTTAAAAATCTGGTCAATTATCGGTAAATATTCACCGAGACCCACAATACGTAATAAACTAATAACTCACTTTTAGATATTAAATTATTTTGGTCTGTGTTGTGTCCTTCTATCACGCTGTAGCAATAGTAATAGATTTGTTAGATCTTCAATGTGCCAACTTAAAGAGGAATGGCGGCGCGTCCATTATTAAGACACAACATGACAATTAATTTGAAGTTTTCTAGGATGACGTAAACGGTAAACACAGCATAGCAATATAATATAACGTATTAAAATATTTGACAATGATGATCACGAGTTGAAATGCATTAAGTAAATTTTAGTTAAATAAATTGTTATTAATCACTTATCAGTATGTAATATATTACAAATGTTAAATTTAATATAATTTAATTTTTGATTGTTCAAAGTCTCGATAAAATTAAAAAAAGAAGAGCCCTGGTAAGTTATTCTTTATATGATTTCATTTTGCGAAAATCTCGTGATCTAAAGTTTACATGACATATTTCTCAATTCATTCTTATACCATTGTGATATATAATATACTCAACTAAATACAAGTCAATAAAGTTTAAAAAAAGTTTCAGGTGAGTGGCATAATATCACCAACTGCGTAATTACGCTATAGGCGTGGACGTCAATAACCATCATGTATTAATTTCATATCGTACATATAAACTGTATATTCATCACCTACATACTTTTTTATAATATTATATCCAGCAATACACGTATGTTCATAATCATATGATTATAAGACATAATATGAATAATATCGGAAGTCTGCCTGTATTTGTTTAAAATTGCGTCGCAGCATCGTTATCGCGTTTTTTGTTTCGCCTTAATATCCGATACTCGCCCTCGGCAGAAGCAGACAGCGCGTCGTCATATATAATATGATACAATATACATTGAGCATTACAGAACATCACAATATCGTTAAAACGATTATGATAAATTGCCGTTCCGACTTCACCGCGAGTGGGCGTGACGAAAGCCTCCTGGAAACCAACACCATACCCTGCGCCAGACCCTGCAAAAATAATAATAACTATTACTATTATTGCTTCACCGCCCCTAACTGCAGAAATAACAAATCATTATCTAAAATGTAAATAACGCGTTATACGATCGCCTGTGCAGCTGTACCGCTGAAGGCCAAAGTGTAGATCTATGAGCTCAGTGTGTATTTAATATTTTTTATATGTGTATGTGTGGCGATAATCACCCGAGTAATCTTTTCTTCGGGTGTCGGAGGCGTGTTTTCATGCTAAATCTTGCTTCCGTCCGTACAGTAGTACAAAAATAAAATTATATACGCTTGCCAGTTATATAGTCTTGTAAAGAATAAGTATATTTTGTATTCGAAATACTCGAGGCCGGATTGAGTACCTATTTAGTATCGGCCCTTCGAAAAATATTTTTCAACCGGTCCATAATTTGCAATGGTAGCACATATTTTAATATTAATAATGAAAACTTTCAAAAAAAGTATTCGAATTTAAAAATATAAATATTAAAAAAAAACTAACAAAATCAGTAGATATTTGAATATATTTTTGTTAAGTAGAATATAGTGTTTAAAATACAAAAACATTATAAAAATACTTTTATTTAAACACCTACTGTTCAAAACTGGCTCATGCGTAGGTACCTACTTAAAAATGTTTGTTAAGTTCGATAATAATATTCATTAAAACGAAAGGTTTTAAGAGAACTTGATACCCGCATGTGTTGTCTCCGTCAACAATTGCGTAATATAGGACGCAAATTTTACACTTTTAGTGTAAAAATTAAAGTGAATTAGCTTATAAAATTTAAAGGTAAGATTATTATTTAGAGCTCTTGTTAATATTATAATTGTCAAGCAAGTTATGACCTTTTTTGAAACTGCACATTTTAAAATGATCATAACAGAGCTAAACTTGATTTTCTGAGCTTCGAGTTTGCTAAATTTCTAAGACGGGGACAACACAAGTGGGTATTACGTAGTTTTAATGAAAACATAAAATCATATTTATCACTGTTTCGAAATTTTGTGTAATTAATTAGGTGAATAAAAAATGCTGGTTAAGACAACATTCATAAAACAGTTAATTGTTTGAAATTCATGGCCTTTGAAAAAGTTACTTAGGCAATAAAAAAATCAAAAAAGAGAAATATGCCTAAAGAGCATAAGAAACATGCAAAGTAAAATAACACTTCCAGTTTCATCTGAACATAAAGTTGATTTAAGTCTATTTTTGTGTAAGCCACAGTAAAACAATTTATATTATGTATATGCTAAAATGTCCTCTGCATCCCTATAACTGATACCGTACATTGGTCGGATTTCGTATTATTTTTTATATACCTAACAGAAGTACGTATTAGTAGTTAAAAAATAAATATAAATGGACTTATATCTGTGCGTTGTTGCCGGCAGTGTACACTCAGATGCAGATGAAGCAGAACGCGAGGAACGGCAGATCATCGGAGGAGGACGATGACGACGTGGCGTCGCGGTCGCGGCACTCGGCCCGATCGCCGCCGTACTCGCCACCGTTCTCGCCGCGTCTGGGCCGACAGGCGATCATGGCGCGGCCGCAAGTGCCCAGACTGGGCCGCCAAACGTTGCTATACCGGCGGGACGCCAGGAACGCGTTGTACCAGCAGTCGAACGCGACGCTGCTCAGACAACAGCGACAGCAGCAGCAGCAGCAGCAGCAGCAGCAGCAACAACAGCCACTACAAGCCGCCACCGAATCGGCGGCGGTGCGACGTCAGGCCGTGTAGACGACTTTCGCGGGCTGCATCACTTGTGCTTTGAACCGGACGATCGACACAAGAACGAAACTCACACATTCATTATATATGTTATATTATATATTATGATTTAGCGTAGTCGGTATTTTTCGTAGTCTAATAAAAACGATAATGATAATATTATTATTATTATTATTATTGATATAATTGAATGTGTTTTAATATATAATAATTATTTGTTATTATAAATTTGGGACAGTCCTTAGGATTTCCAAGGCCCGTTACGGGAATTGGCCCAATACTACAATCCATTAAATTATACGACCAATTTGGTCTATAAGTCTACGAATAGCTGTTATTATTTATAACTTGGTAAACCTAAATTAAAGTACTAAAATAATAATAACAATAATACAGTGATTATTTAATTTGCCAAATTAATATTTTATGAATCCATAGTTGTAGGTACTGTGGATGAGAACAACAAGAGGAACTTATTAATTATTGGTACCTTATTAACTGAAAGGAACTTTAAAGTTCACTTGTAAGAGTGAAGAGGGAACATCAATAGTTCTGCAAACAATTGACTTAGGTACGTAGGAATACTTTAGGAAATAACTTTCTCTAAACGATATTATTAGTGGGCATAGTGTTTACTTTATAGTACCACAAAAGAGTCCCGTAGTACTACAGATGGCATGTAAATATGTAATCAACAAAAAAAGTTTTTCAGCACCACCTATTGTCTATTGGACGTTATTCAATCTACTCTCTAAACTCTTCCCGGTATCTCTGAAAACGATTCTTGGCATTAAAAAAAAAATCGGTTTAGTAGTTTTTGATTCTTTAAACCAATAAACCACAACCTTACATAGGTATTCACAGTAATATTGTATAATATACAAATTATAAACAGTTCAGCCTAGAATTACTATTCTGAAGTAAGTTAATTTGATATGCCTTTGGAGTTAAGCCCTTAAATTACATAAATGAAAAATAAATACCTTTATTTGTAATTTTTCAAAATATACCTAATTTTTAATTTATAAAATCATACTATTAATAAATATAGCAAAAATAACTTTTAAAACTTGTGTTGAATAAAATTTTTCTTATTATTATAATTATATGTTTATAGTTACAAATTAAAGATAGAAAACCCATAATTTAAAGAAAATAATAAATCAATTTTGTTTTTTTATATCATCTAGGTGTTTGAAAACTGAGATCTCTCAAATTTATACGTATAATTTACTACTTATAGGCTATAGGTGATTACTGATTACTATTAGTTATTATATATTTTAATTTTCAGACTTGTATTATAGTTGTTTATTATTTATTATTCATAATGATATATACTAATAAAGATTGTAAAATTGTAAAATTAAGAATTATGCCATCAAAACTAAAAAATACACTTTAAAATATAAACATTTAATATTTTTCTTCGTAATATTTTGAACTAATAATATATTTCTATCTTACTTGGGAACAAACCTAATATGGTAATATCCCTCAAAAAACATGTAAAAGCAATATCTACCGAACCCTTTACACATTGCCTCTTATATATTATATATTTAGATTATTATATTACCGTATAGACGTATAAAATATTGTCTGGTTGGGGAGTGATCCCTATATTATCGTCTAATGAGGTCTTGTTTACAAAACGGTGTACGTTTATATATATTCCGCCTCGAATCATGTGAGGGCCGAGCCCACCGAGACAATAATAATATATTATTGTAATTTGTAGCACCATAATATATTAATGCGCATACAGAGTGGTCTGTTTCACTGCAGGTTGCATTAACTTTTCGAATAGATATTAAACCAAAAAAAAACATTAGGTATGCTTAATATGGAAAATAAGAAAAAGAACTAGTAAAAAGTAAAACATTTTTGAAAAAGGATCCTCTCCCTCCCTCCGATTATTTTTATAAGTTCTGAGAATATTCAAATTTTACCTCTCAAAAGTGCAAAATATATAAAATTTACTACGAAAAGCCTCGGACCATATTTCTTCTTGAAAAAGTATCTTCATGCACAAAAATAAATAAATAAAAAAAACATATTTATAAAATCAATACATTGTTCGCTCCACTCAGAATCTAAAAATAATCTCCATATACAGTGGTTATTTATGTAGGAGGACAGGGATTATGAAAGGATATCATAGCTCAAATTCTTTAAATTGTCATTTTTTTACCCTCTACCATCGTTTATTTTTTTTTTAAATTACCCACCCCTTAGATTTTGAAAAATTAACTTTTTTCATTATGAGTAGCTTTTACGATGTTTTTTTTTCTACAAATATGTCTAAATATTCTTTTGATAAAAATATTTGGTTTTCTGAAATTTTAAAATTTGGTGTGAAAGGCAATAAATCAAACCGTACTACACTATATATAGTCGCTAAAGATATAATTTCTCAATAGACGAAAATATATTCGGTGAAACACTAAAATGTGCTTTAGGTATCTATTTATAATTTTAATATAACATAGTTAATTAAATACAAATATCAAATAATATCAAATTTATAAATTTGTATATTTCAATGTTAGTTGCACATATTTATTATTTCGTTTTTGTACCAGTACGATTATATGTGTTACTATGTTAGATCATATTATAATTTCATCGCATCTTAGGTCAGTAATTAGTTATTATTGATTGCAAATAAGGAATAAGGAATCATCAGTTATTTCGATCACTTACATAAAATTATATGGTACAATGTTTCCACTAAACGGTATACTACGTCGCACGTCGTATGATAAATATATCGTATTGTACGTCATAATATAATATTATGAATTACTAAAATGACGTCGTGGACTAAATCCGTAGCAATAAATACACACATCACACATAATAACACGATCAATAAAATATAATATGTATATTGTCTGCACATATTTGTATACACTTTATAACTATTAAATATTTAAATGTATGTACGACGCGTCATTTGTCATAAATATAAATAATACAATAATATTATAAAGACGATAGTAAAATTAATGATAATTATACTATATCGGGCATATAATATAGAATAAACAAAATAATCTAAGTTGAGCGCATTCGATATCATTCGAATCGATCGTGACATATATAGGGTGATCGTATTTTGATCTATATTTTTGGACAAGTGGCCACGAGAAAAAATAATATAATTATATATGTATTGTATATGTATAGGTACTTAAAAATATATTAAAATCAGGAGTGCATTGTTATTACTCAATAACATTTAGCCGTATACATTTCTAGATAATACGAGTACGTTAAATACAAAATTATAAATCTTAATGCAAGACATTTTTACACGTATATTATTACCTACCTATTATATTATCTTAGTTTTTTTGTAGATCAAATAATCGTGATCCTCTTCTATTATACACGTTGAACACGTACAAAATAATTTATTATTAGTTTAATAATACATAATACATTAATACATACCTAATATATTATAGTAGATATATCCTCTACCTAGCGAGAGAACACGCCGATTCTGCCTACACACACGCAACACCTTGCCATTAAGGCCGTTGTTCACCATGACATGGTGTCGCTTGGTAATTCGTAGAAGAACTGATTTTTGTCGGGTCACAAGTTTATGTTCTCTCGCAAGTCAAAGTATTGACAGACACGGATCTAGAAACTTGAAATGGAAGGAGGAGGGCTACATTTTTCAAAAAAATACAATTACAATTTTAGTATAGGTACATAATAGATTATATTTTATAGATACAATTTAAGAGGTAACAATAATAATATAATACTAACAATTTTATTGATATTTTAAATGTATGGTTTTTAAGACGTGCAGTGAATTATATATTGTATAAATAATTACATAATACATAATATTTCCAAGGAGGGGCTCAGGGACATTCGCCCTCCCCTCTGAATCCACGCCCGACTACTGGTACTTATTTGTGAAGATTTCGATGTACATATACAATTCATATAAATACAATCACAATACATGCAACTCGTTAAATATTTAATAGAAATATAAAATACGAAATCGTTTGTTATAGTTATAGAAATAATTGAGAAATACTCAAAAGATTTAAAAAAAAAAAAATAAATAATAATAAATGTGCAATCTTATTTCTCTCAATTTTATAGTAAGGCCGTGGTAATCGATATTTGCGTGGTGTATCATATTATTTTATTAGCAAGACTCACTTTTAGAAGCGTTCTGTGAGATGTATATTTATTAACTATGACATTATGTGCTGATCTAAAGATCGTTCCATCTACTTTCTGCCTTTTATTATTTCTGTATTAATGATAGACAAAATATTTTGTTCTGTGATTACAAGACACATTATTTCAACGGGCGATATATACCTATGTTGAACGGGTCTTATAATTAATGTATTCGTGATGTATATAATAATATGAAAAAATAAACATCGAAACGATCGCTATATATATATTGCCCCATGAAACCAAATTGCAGAAGTTGACACTACATATGAACATAGTATATACAAAGCTGGGTAAGTTAAAATGATTTTTTAAACTCAGTTAAGTTATAACTTATAAGCTAACGAAATAATTGATGATTTCACTTGAATTAAGAAACAATAAGTTAAGTTAAGAAGTTAAAATAAAATAAACTTTTTAACACATTTATGCTCAACCTTAAATTTATATATATATATTATATTATATACATGAGAAAAGTTGCAACTTTTTAAATACAATAATTGGCCTTTTTTCACGGTCGAGGAACCGCAGTGTTTAAATGTGTTGTACAAAATAATGACGTAATAATGTTACGGGTTAGGTCCCAAAACTGGTAGACAGTGTATCTATGTTTTACAAGGAAAAGCTTACCCATACGAACAAGGTAATATATATAGTATATACATTATCCAACTAATTTATACACTATGTAGCCGATGTGGATAAAGTATTAAGTCGTTTTAATTCGGTAATTAGATGCTCTGTCAAAAGTAAAGATACCTAGGAACTGTAGTCTGGTACATTGATTATGTTGGCGTGATGGTCAACATTCCAAGCATTTCAAATCGTTAATTTATATAGTCCTATTAATAACAATTAATACTAAATCATACTATTTTTTTTCGTCAGATTATTATTAAATTATTAACAGTTATTTTATCGTATGTTTTATAAAAGTATGTACTTCATCCACTCAGCCGCAGATAATGTACAAATTACATAAGCAATTTACGAAATGAACGTTTTATAAATAATATTTTACTTTATCCAATAGGTATAACTGTATAAGCAATATACGTATAGGTTGTATTTATATATTATACATGGATATAATTGTAATCCCGAAAAAAATACCAAGGAAAAAAAAGAACAATTTTTAAAAGTTTTAAATTAATTAATTGATTATAAAAATTAAAAAATACTTACATTTGTAATTAGTATGTAAGGTGATCACTTACTACGCATACATTTACATGGCCCAAATGCACATAGAAATTGCCTTTATTGAAAACTATTGAAGTATATAAAAAATGTATTTCTTTTTCAAAATATTATTGTTTTTATTTCATAAAACTATGTGAAAAAATATTTAAAAATATATCTTATATATTAATTTTTCATCTTTATATCATAATTATTGTAATATTTTTTTTGACTGTTATATTTAAAATTTTTAAGTTTAGTTAGTCTAGTTAGTGATCACTTTACAAACTATAATTACAAATGAATGAATTTTTTTAATTTTCATAATCAATTAAATTATATAATATAATATATACCTATACACATAATATTTCAAATTTTTAAAAATTGTTCTCTTTTGGTTATTCTTTTTTTTTTGTGTTCCTTTTTTATTTGGTCTTTTTTATCGCTATTACAGTGTATTTGTAATACCAATGTATTTCGTACTTTAACAGAAACATTTAATTAATAATAGCATGATTTGTTTCGTATGACGAATCATTTCAGGATAAATAAATACAATAAACTTATGTCTCATTATTGCATTCTGTATATGGTTTCACGTACATTTTATATACATAGAGTAAGCATAACTCTGGTAAATAGATATATAAATGACATTACTCATAACTATATTATATACACATTCAGGATCGGCGCTAGTGATCCTTACAAAGATTCAATTTTTTTTCGCGCCTATGTATGATTATTGATCATTTTTTAACAATAACAAAAAAAAGTCTCCGAAAAATCGGGCATCCGGTGTGTGGTTACACTTGTTCTTGTTTCAGTTCTAATGCCCATACATCTTGTGGCCATCCGGTCCTGCCTTTGCTCCTCTTGTGGTGGTGTTGGTGTTCTTGGTGTTGGTGGTCGTTGGTAGGATTCAAAGGATTTCGAGGGATCATCATCTATGTGATAAAAAATAAAATATATTTTTAAATGTCATTAAAAAGTATATTTCAATACTATTACAATATACAAGTAGCGGTACCTACACAAAATATATTTCCTTACTATAACCACGTGCTCATTTTTCTTTAATATTAATGACGTTACAAACCCTGATTTATGATGATAAATCAAACCCGAACCGTAAAATTTTGAATTTTCCAACACGAATTTGTTATTTAACTTCTATACAATATATCTGGTTTGAATTTTGATTTCATACATTTAATTTTAAAACCGAAAACTGAGAAGTACGATTCGGTTTGATTCAAACTTCGATCAGTTTCTGGCAATGTATAACATGAGTAGTGAGTACATAACTATATAATCATATTATAATTGATATTAGATACTATTGTTATATGCATTAATAGGTATTTATTATTCAATAATCTGCTGCCGTAGTATGCACAGTGCACACAATATTACAGTATAGTTGTGTAAACTGTATAATATCCTTCGTCGTTATAATAATTATAACAATAATAATAAAAATATCGCCTTCAAAGTGTCACTTGCCCGACGTGTAAATATATACCTAATATATTATATACAATGCCGCCCCAGACGCCAGACGGTTCTATTACGTATTATAATATAATTATGGTATCATAATATAAGTATATTATATAGCGTTTGAACACGGTTATGGTTTATAGTCGATTGCTGCGGTAATGACATGATAAATATAACACTCGCTAATCATAATATTTAGGGTTCCGCGATATTGCAGCCGCGTGCGTATTTTATTATGTTATATGATTTAATCACATTGCTGCTGGGTGGGGTGCAGCGAACGTCGGCTGACTGCATTCAAAACAACAATCGAATTTGGACGTAATGTGACAAGCCCGATAGTAACAGTGCAGGAGTAATAATAATATATAAAATTAAACTATATAAAATAAAAGGAGTCACTCGTACATAAAATTTATAATAATACATAGTTGGCCGCTGTGCGATTTAAATTCGAACGCGTATTTAATATAGGCTATTTCTTTTGAACATTTTTGCAATTTGAACAAATATGCGATATTTTTAAGAAATCGTTGTTGATTTTTAGTTTTTTTTCCCACGACGTATTAAGAGCATCGCGACAAAACACATCGCCCTTAAAGATTAGAACGACGTTTTTATAGTAAAAAGGGTTCAAAAAATCACGTTATAAAAACTCATTGGTACCTATATGTAAATAACCGTAAATCGTTTCTCGATGCACGAATTTTGAGTATTCAAGCTGTAACTGGTACAATGCTACTTGAACATAATATTATGCTACAAACCGATTTTATACGTCCATAATATGTATTAAATATTATTGTGATTAATCTGGTTTCTGATAGTTGTAAATTATGGTGTTCGGTTTATTATTATTACACGAAAAATGATAAATTCAATATTAATTAATATTATACAATTCACAAAACAAAAAATACTATTGCCTACATTTCCCATGCCCACACCTTAAATGCCGCAAAATCATAATATAATAGGTAGGTACAATTTTATACTATATATAATATAAGCTGTTTAATTTTAATTTTTAATCTGTTATTTATTTTAATTTATTTTCCAACCTTATGAGTTATAACTTATAAGCCATATGGAATTCAAAATAAAATCTATTAAAACAATTAATTTAATATAATTTATTATTCTTTTATACAATTGTTTTGATTTATATGTTTTGTACATAATTTATTTATTTAGTATTTAAAAGTTCAGTGTTACTGCTGGGTAACTACTCCCCTCACGTTTTTCACAGCCAAAAGTGGATATTTCCGATCATATGCTCATTGTAACTACCATTACAGATTGTACATTTCAAATAAATGTTTAAAAAAAAACCTTAGTATTTATTAATTGCATGATAGGAACGGTTATATACCTAATATTACATAGGTGCCTGGTCAGTTTAATTATTTTTCTAAATGTTTAGTTACAAAATTAGAACTAATGTCTCTTAAATCGATACAATATAAAAATATGCGATTTCTGTTTTTTTATTTTTCCGCGATTCCCCTTATAATATCGTGATGTACGTACCTGCTGTTGATGCGTCTTATCAGCCTGCGCGTGTAGCGTCTGCAACGACCGCTTTGACGTGTGCGCGGACAGGTCGGCTTTGAAACCGTCCGTGTCCGGGTCATCGCTGTCCAGCACGGTCATCAGGTAACCGATGTAGGACGTGGCCAGCCGGAGCGTTTTGATTTTCGACAGTTTAGTGTCGGACGGCACGTTGGGTATGCAGTCCCTGAGGTCGGAGAACGCGTTGTTGATGCTCTGCGTGCGCCGCCGTTCCTTCTTGTTGGCCGTGTTCCTGCGCTTGACGACACGCACTACCGGCACCGCCGCCGGCATCAGAGTCGTCGGGACAGACTCGGAAGAACCGCACTGTTGGTGCATCAAATGCTGTTGCTGTTGCAGCAGCTGTTGTCGCCGTTGAAATTGCAGTTGCTGTTGCTGCTGTGGCTGAAGCTGCAGTCGTTTATTGTTGTCATCATCGTCGTTTGCTCCTTCTTCGTCGTCATCGTTATCGTCGTCGTCGTCGTCGTCGTCGGCGGCGGCGGATGCGTTGTTGTTGTTCTGTTGTGCTGGACGGTACTGTAAAAGGAAACGGCTCAATATATTATATTATTATGATATTGTTTTTGATATCTGAAACGTTTCATGGTGGGTTGTTGAATAACCAACCTCTATTTCAAGGGGGGGGGGGGTTAAAAACAAATAGGCTAAATTTCAGTTGTTTCATTTACTATTAAATATATCAAATCACTTTTATCTGTATTGTCTGACCATGTCTGAGTTAAATGTAATCTATCTTCCTATGGTTCTCCGTTTTGGTTCAGTTTAAAATTAAAATATAATTAAATAATATTTTGTTCTGATGATTAATTTTAATCATCTTCTTAATGATAGACATAATATGTTTGATCTAAATACAAATGGAGACTGATTCAACGAATGATTAAAATCCGACTTACAAGTTGTAATTTACAACCAATAATTCGTATTGTATGTGCTGTGCTTACATCAAAAATGGTAGGCGCAAAAAAAAGACCCAAAAATAAACACGCCACGAGAAAAAAGTCCATGACGTGACAGTTAGTTATAGCTTTTCGTAAATGATACAATAATTCATATTGAACAATATTCGAGGACTTAAATATATTACACGATACAACTGCTAATTTAATATTATGTCGTCCTTGCAATATTCAAATAATAACTTACTGTTATAAAATCGCTATGTACACTTAATTTGCGCCCGAATTATTGAAAAACCGGGGCTGTTTGGAGTATTCGTATTGGCCCACTTCCAATAATTCGAGAGTTGGAATTAAATTAATCATTAAAAACCGTAATGAGAATTGTAAGCAGTACGTAATAAGAGACAAAAGCTGAACATAAACTGCGTGTCTGAGTGTTTAGTATAAATAGAATACTACATATCATTCTATCTTTATCAAAAAAAAAAATATGTTTGCGCAGTAATAACCGCACGCATTGCAGAAGCTCAAAAATTGTTAATATTAAAAAAAAACTTTTTTTTACAAAAATTAAATTGTGATGTATCCGCAATCCACTCATAACGAGCTCTATATTTTCATTTATTATTGATCAGGGTTTTTGATTTAAAAAATATATAATATCTGCTATTTAAGGTATAGTTAATGAGTTAATCTCCGCGAAATGTTACTCAGAACGCGTGAATCAAGCGCATATGCGGGTGAGTATACTATTACTTTTATGTATTTAGAGTTTAGATAATAATTAGAACTAACCGAAATTTCTGCGTTTTTTCCGAGTCGGTTTGCACCTTTCCGGGATCGGGTACCGCGTGCATATGTATATATGTATAGTATAAAGTGTAGTGTAACATTGCAGCGGTGTAGGATACACTACACGTGTTGGAGTAGGTACCTATATAATATGTAGTCATAAATCCAAACCCATTAAATAAAACCCCAAGTGCTCGACCTAACCCGGAAAGTCAAAGAAAAAAAACGGAGGGTAAATTGAAACGGGTCGTATAATGTACGTATAGACGCATATTATATAGATGCGGGGATGTCGCGATTTATTTTGTTGCACGGCAGTTCCGGTCGCGCGTAAAAAGGGACTGATACACAAAACCTTTATAATATAATAATAATAAGAATAAAAATAATATTTGTTACGGAATAAAACTGAGTTTATGAATAATACCATATTATTATACAATAACTATTAAATATAAATTATAATATAAAATATTTAACATAATTATATAGTTGTAAACTACGACAAATTAATAATAACTAGAGTTAGGATGTTGATGACCTAAAAAACACACAAAAATGCCCTAAAAAAATGCAAAAAAACCCTAAAAAAAGTGCAAAAATTCTCTGAAAACTTTAAAATATTACCTTAAAAATTATCTAAAATACTAATTAAGTAAGTGAAAAAACGTATTTATAAATAATAATTTTTATTAGAGATATGGGTATAATAATGGGTGTAATAGTAATTTAAAATATGAATTATAAATATATTAAGCATTTAAATAATTCAATATATAACACTCAAAGAGTAAATCTTATCGGAACGCGATAAATATAATCACAACAAAAACCCCACAATAATAATATTAAAATTATTTTTTACTAATAGTCCAAATCCAAAGTTAGATTTTAAATAAATTAAATTTGTTTTCAAACTTGGCTGTAACATTTGCCCTAAAATCTATAATTTGTAAAAAATGCTCTTAAAGATGAAAAAATGACTTGAAAATTTTGAAAAATGACGTTAAAAAACAAAAAAAAATGCATTTATAGCTGAAAATGCAAAAAATGCAAAAAAATGCAAAATAAAATTAGAATATTCTGCATCAAGGGAGCATGAAACAAATTTTTAGCTAGGATAGCATTGTACAGAATAAAAGGAAAAAAAATGCAAAAGTCATCAACATCCTAACTCTAATAATAACGCTTTAAATTAGACATTTTTTGTAGGAGAAGATGAAGACAACGGTATTTTTTTATTCTTATTTTTTATGTAGAACAAACCCGTAATTTCCAAAACGAATATCGCTCGACAAGAAATGGGCAATCGTGTTGCCAACAATTATTTTAAACAAAAAGGCTAATGTTGGGCATTGCTTTTATGTTGTATACCTTAAAAAGTTATTTTTAATTGACTCTAATTCATGAATTTGAACTATTGAACTATTGAACCAAATAAGTGAATCATATTCAAGATGAGATCTTACAATGAAAAATAAAATGTTCCAAGGGCATTACAACAAAGGAACTCCTGGCAGTTAAGTAGTTTCTTCAGTTTCTTGTTAAGAAATGTAAGCGGGCAAGACGAGCGGTTCGACTGGTAAGAAAATTGCTACCTGCAAATCAAATTTTATAACAACAAAACATTGTTTATGGTTTTTTTAGCTTGTAATCAAATATAGTAGAAATTGTCTCACAGTGTTTAATTACTGTTTTTAGAAAGAGTTTCGTGACTATAACTCCGTCATTGCACTACACGCATTAATATATTAATAATGTTCGGTCGAAAATCGTTCATCGGACGGCGCCTCGACGGCGAGACGGACCCGGAGAAAACGGTCAGCGACGACAGATGACCAAGTAGGGACCGACGAAAAATGACACCTGATCACCATACAGTATATACAAATTTACAATGTTATTTTGATGGACACTTCAGCCGAACTTGCCATGGTCGAAGAGAAAGTCGGAGGGTCGCACGGGTTAATATTATAATATAGAATCTCGATGGCTGCAGCACAACAAGCCTTCGTATTTCGTGTCGAATAGTGTTTTTACCATTTTAAGTTTTAATATTTGTCCATCACACTATCACAATAATATTATAAATCACTTTAGTTATCGAACTTTATCCGAACATTTCTCAGCCCAATCTAGTGAGGGTCTTCACTCTCGCGGTCCTCGTCGGACACGTTGTTTACGTTATTCATCACCAGCGGGTTTGTCGACCTCGACAATGTCCGATGGACGACTACGACATTTGCCACCAGCTTCCTGTGAGGATTGTACTTCAAGGTAAGATGCACAAAATCCACGATTTAATATAATAGTACTCACAGGTTCTTTGTATGTTGTGTAGGTATAGAATTAAAATAGGTTTTACATGCGATAAGCCTATATATGGCTATATAATAAATTATATACACCCGTTATTTAGAAATTTCAATTTACCCATCTTTTACGTAACCAAAACTCCACAATAATGCACTTTAGGTATCTACTTCAAAGTTCAAATCGACGATTTTTCAATATAGTACCTATTATTACAAATGTATTCATATTTACTAATACCTAACCCACGTGTGTGAAATGTTAACTATAACTAAAGTATATTATTATATTAATACCTAATAATTATAATAGCATAATATGATATTAAGTGTATAATTGTTTGCCAATATGTCATTTGTATACGTATACATACTATTTATAGTATAGGTAACAACAATCCAACAATTTAAAACATATAATTATTTCCATATTATCTGTCTAACTTTTGAATTTAACCAAAGAACTTGGTTTTTTTTTTATTTTGAATAAATTAAACTATATTCAAGACTCAATACGAAACAAGCTAATGTTGATTTGTGGAATTGGCAATTATTAAAAGGATAGGTAGCAGCCCACCCGTACAAATATAATATTAATAGCGGGCGTACCTGTGGAGTGAGCGGCTGTCGATCGAGTTGTGACACGTTAGTCGCGGAGTACGGATCGTCATAAGCGACGGCCACCGCGGCGGCCGTCACTGCGGAATTCATGTCGCAAACATCGGCCGCGTTATTGTTGTCGTACGCCGCCGGCTTTTCGTCGTAGCCCTGCAAGTGGCCGACCTGTTGGTAACCGCCGTCGTAGTAACCGACATTGCCGTACTGCAGCAACGGCTGCTGCTGTTGCTGTTGGTGTTGCTGCAGATGATGACCGTAAAGGCCACCGTAGTCGCAATTGGCCACGGCGGCCGCGGCTGCGGCGGCGGCCTGCAGCGCGGCCACTGACGACGGTCCATAATTGTTGTACGTGATGTCCTCGTACGACGTGGATTCGTCGTCCACGAACGATGACGAAGACGACGCGGTGCTACCGATCGGATGGCCGACGACGCACGTTACCAGCTGCTGCTGTTCCGCGCCCGGCATCCAGTAGGACGGCGCCGATTGTGACAGGTCCTGGACGACGTAACGCCCGTCGCCGGGCACAGCCGACGACGACGGTGTGGCCGCTACACCAAGGGCTGTCATGCATTCTTGCTTCACTGTAAACATCGTTTTGTTTGTCATTGTTATGTACTACTACACAAAAATATATGTTAATGTAAACTCAATTTTTTTTTATAGTAATTTATAACAGATTTATGTATCTATATCAACTTATGTATTTACGTGGTATGTTTTACTTATTCCAGTTTACTATTACAATTGATTTTGTATGGAAGGCAACTTGTATAATATTATAATTATAGCTTCCTGATCCTCAGAGCCAACTAGACTTTATTAACCATTTTAGTTATAAATTGGGAGTATTCGTATATTTTGGAAGTCAACTAGTATATGCACCGGTAATAAACAACCATAATATAAAAATCAGGGATTCACACTGAAATGTAGCTAAAATTGTTTTCATCTCTAGCTAAAATCTCTTCAAACACCCAAAATCCAATTATCCCCAAAACTGGATAATTTTTTATTTTACAAATTTCATGTGAATATTAGGTCGGTTTTTTAATCAGTTGTTTAAAAATAATTATTAGTAAATAGGTATATTAATTATAATATGTAATAACTAACAACACATAATATAAGCACAAATATTCTCTTTCTCTCTTATTGTCACTACAAATTCCCTTCTTATTAACCTAACCAATCCACATTAACCCGATTATTACTAACGGTTATCGGCATGACGGCATCTCAACGTTTTTTTTACATTTTTTGATCCGAAACCCTAGAGTGAAATACCCCTCGCGATAATAATATTCCTACTCTACGGTAGTTATAATCTTTGGATTTTTGAATTGTTCCTTAACACTGCCCAAAGTTTATATCTTACGGTTTGCGAGGAGATTGAAGATGTAATCTTTAAGATTAACAATAAATATCAGGTATTTATTGTTTTATTTCTATGATGGGATAATCAGAATTTTTCAATTGAAAAGCTATTTAACAAATACAAATCAGAAAAAGTATAGTATTAACAGCAGCATAAAAAACGATACCTGCATGTACTTTTTTATTTTTAATTAATTTTAAAACATATGCATTACATATTATATTTAAACTATCCGTATTTTTAAGTTAACTGCGCTCTTGTTATTTTTTCGAGGTGTCACAACAGATATAGGTATTATCAACAAATGTATAATGTAGGTACCTAACTATATACTATATTACAAAATAATTTAACGTTATTCAGTTATTATTTCCAATAATCAAATAATTATCCAATTATAGTCGTATATTGTTACGAATTCAACTATGCTTTTACAGTATTTTTCGATTATATATATTAACGTAAAAAAATATTTTTCTAACAAATGTTCTCAAAAAAATATTATGTACACATCGTGTCTTATATAATAACTGTATATAATATGTGTACACCCGCTACATTACACCGCCGCTCCATGGCCGAGTCGAATATTATAGAGTCCAATATAGTGGTGAATATGTGTTTACAATTTTTATACATATATAGGATATATAGGTACGTCTTACGTGTATTTATTGGTTTCACATATAAACTGTACGTTTTTAAATGTATCTATTGATTTTGTATAGAATGTGACGTTAAAATCTTTGAACGACGCCATAGTTAATTATCAAAACATCAGTTAATACAATACAACGATATAATATTAGGCGTAACGTATATACTAACTTTACAAATGACGGTAACAGTTCGCAGTATTACCAGGTAGCCGGGGACTACTCTCCATAGAGATCCCTACTTTATGTTCGACGGAACACAAACATGATGTAGGAATACCTTATATTATATTCCTATAAATTCCTATAATAAATATAGGTACCTATTTGTTTTAGATTTTGATATCTACGCCAAAATTGAAATTTGTAAAATAGAATGATATTAAATATTAATTAAATCGTATTACAAAAATGTATTCAAGAATCAAGAATGAATTACAACTGTATTTTATACTATTAAAAAACTTTGCAAAAATGTACGTACATAGGTACCATACGTGCTATACAAATAGCACTTGTTGTTTCTTGTTAAATCACATTCACATATTATGATTGTGCACAATGTCGTGTTCAATAAAAAAAAAAATTTGATTGCTTACCTGAATAATTCGGTTGATAATGTCGAGAAGAATAGTTGATTATATCACTCGCCATTTATGCGGACGGGAAGATGAACACGGTTTTTTTATACGAAGACACGGGTTATAGACAAACGGAAAACTATTCTACCACTTGACAATGACGATAACACCAAAGTCCCGAAATAAAAAAAACAGAAAAATAAGCTGATTTTGGGTAACTATAATTCGGGGTTTAGGGGTGCGATCGTGATGTACAACACTCGTTGTATAGTCGTGCCCGAATGTTTCTGCAACTGCAACGAATAATACCACTGATCCCTGGCCAAACGCGGGACACTTGTTTCGGCTTGTACAAGTCCCGCCCATACGTTTCCAAGGGGCGTTCGTTGATATCTTTGTTATATATGTATACATGATGCCTCGCTCGTACAGACGCTCGTTTATACGTACATTATAGTATACGAGTCGACCATATATTATGGTCGACCTATACGTCGTATGTCAAAATAATGAAAAATATTAGACAGGGATGAGTAATTAGTAATTTTATGACCGCCTCTAATGCATGTAGTCACGTACAGATATTATATAGAATATAATGTATAAATAATAGCTGTTGTATATACTGTAACTGCAGTGCACTGAATATTCTAATGTAAGTTCTTTTGCTTCTTTTTTGGGTCATCGGCGATCAATTATTACCACGTGTACATATTTTATACAATTTGTGGGTGCTTTGTGTATGCTCGAATATATAATATATAATATACAGAGTGAATCACTTTGCATGTTCATTGACATTTTTCCTATAATTATATATACCTATGCAATAATTCAAATGATGACGTTTGAAATTTTAACTTAAGCAACATATTTTCAATTATTTAAATATAATATATGCTACTTGTGGAGTGTTCTGTGTTATGCAAACTAATAGGTCATTACAATATATGCGTATCGCCGACTAGGTAGTGTACTAGTGTCTATGTCCTATGATTATTTGAAAATTATACAAATGTTAGTATTAATCTATTATTAAATACTAACATTCTATTATTTGCAAAAAAATGTCTTAAAATAATTAGTATTAGACGTCTTTATATTACATAGTATATTTTATGTAAAACCGTTATGCATAATTAAGATTATTATTCTTAATACCTCAAGTTCAATTACACAAAAAAATAAGAATTTTGATTAATATGCATCATAGTTTTTAAAAAAAAACATCTACTTATAAATGTACAAGTAAAAATTTTAGCTTCTCATTAAAAAAAAAAAAAGAAAATTGTATTTCCGAAAGGAAACTGTTTCTTAAATGGTACACAAATTTAAGTTCTTGAAAAAATTAGTTCTTTACTTTTTACTCTTTAAGTATAAGTATATCTACTTAAAAATTTCATGAATTATAGAATTAGAATAAATGTATTATTCAAAGACGAAAGGGGTTGCTAAGCTAGATTATTGAATCGCCCTGTATATTACTTATATTATATACAGTGTTATTATGTAATACGATTAAACGATGACCTATACCTATATATAGGCTCTGCGTTACTGTTATGTATATAAATACAACTTAACTGAGCGGCCGGAAACCTGCACTTGATTGACGTAATCTCTATGTATTATTCTACTGAATAATAAACAAATACACGTCGTATACCTATGCACATAATTCACATTTTTATACTACTTACGTATTGTAAAATAAATTAGTTTGCTGCTGTAAAAAATGAATCACTGAGATAAGTCTATAATAAAATAAACTAATAACTGATAATTGGTATACTTTAATATATTTAGTATAGGTACTAGGTACACATGTCCTTAGAAGAGCTGCAATATTCTGTACATAATGCTTATATGTAATTCATAATTATAAAACTTAAATATTTATAGACGTTTATAGTACGAAATATTATCTCTAATTATAGAACGATAATTTTAAACTTTAGATAATACAATAAAGTACCTAATTTACAGCACATAATATATATATGTGTGTGTGTATCAAAAAAGACATTGACCTTTATTGCACCAAGCCACAGATATTATATATTTGAGTTATGAATTTATGATGGGGTCCTAAGCGATCTAAACCGTTCTTATGTAAAAAACTTTTTAATCATCAGATATCAGCAAAATATATTGTTGCACATAATCTATTCCGTAAAAAATCCCAACAATCAAATAATTATTCAAATAAAAATGAAATAGAATTATACTAGCAAATAATTATTACAGCAGCAGTAATATCGCTGTGTAGATGTACAACAATACAAATGTATAGTAATAGTTTTTAAACATATATTGTTTAAACACTATTGTTGTACAACAGAATTTTGTAAGCTTATAATGTTGTTACATTAAACTTTTTTGTTTTTAATTATATTTCACAATCGTAAACATATAAATGTACTTAAAATTACAATATTATACAACTACCTAAAGCTGCTTTATTTTAATATCGACGATTTAAATACCTATACGAGTATTATATTTTATAAAGGTAGTTGCAGTATACTCACATATTATATTTTGAACCATATATTATCCCAACTTATATATTCGTCATATTTTAGGATTTTATGGTAAAACAAACCAACGCTAAACCGAGATTTTTTTAATTAAAACATCAAGTATTTTTTTCGACGGTCATATTATATTTTTGAATTTAAAAAAAATTAATAGGTAGGTATTTAAAGTAAATATTTAATACATAATAAATTGATTGATAATGTTTTTTAAATTTTATAACAACAAATAATAAATGTTGTTTTACTTTTATAAATTATAATAACGTTATAAGACGTGTTCTTATAAATTATAAATAAACAAATGTTTTATAATATTCTTCTTAGAAAGGTTCTAGTGTTCATTACTTCAAATATCTAAAATTTATTATGTATAGTAATAATGTGTAAAATAATGTGTTTCTTAGAAAAATAGTAAAAGTCTGACTTCGATTCACTTTTTGAAGTCAAAACACAATACACATTTAATGTTTATGCAGAAAACTCAAACCATCAAGTAGGTATACAGAGTGGTTATTTGAACTATTAAAGTATAAACACTCGCAAATAATTTTTTTTGAAAATAGTGTTAATTACATTATTTAAAATCATTGAAAAAAATTCGAATTTTTAGTTTTAAATTTTTTAAATTTTTTTATACTTTTTATAATAACGCTATTATATGAAGGCAATAATAAAGGCACCTAATTTTATAAATTCATACTCTGAAGTAGAATATTAATTGTCCTATATAATTTAAATATATACACATTAAAAAAAATTATATATTTCAAACGATAATTGAAATAGTGACTTAAAAATGTTACAGGGCTTATCGAGTACCACTTCACTCACATAAACTATAACTAATTAACTACCTACTCTTTTGAAATTTGATTTTTATCTAATACCTACATACCTAAATTATTGAAAAAAATATTATGCTTCAGAATGTTGTTTCCTAATGATTTTAAATTATGTAAAAACTTATTTTCAAAGACTTTAATACTTTTTGGTGTGATAAAACGATGTTTGTCTATGTAATGTAAATTACTATTTAAATATATAGAATCACGTTTTACCAGTATACTTTACCTATAGAGGTACAGGAAAATTTTTTTTAGTAAACGTTTCTTTAGTCATAGACATTTTCTATTTGTACTGCAGTTTGGTGCGGTGCTTTATTTTCTATCCTGTCCATATACAAAACAATTTATACATTAAAACATTATTTTTATAAATATGAAATCGCTTTACATTTGGTATTAATTAATTTATTAGATAATATACCCTTTATAATTTTAGATATTGTACCATAATCGTATAGATAATAATATATAAATATTGATTATTATTTATTATAGGATACTGCAGGGTATGATTCTTTCAAATTCCAGACGAGGAGAATGCAGTGACTTAGGGGTAGTCCAAAAAATGTTGGAGCACTATATTATATTAATTCATTCGCATGTTAACTTTAAATGGGTACTTATTACTTATATAACTAATATTAACTATACTGATTCGAAAATCTATTTATATTAAATATTGTAAAGAAAACCACAAAAATAAAATAAAGTGAAAAAAATGTTTTCTAAGACTAGAGAATGATTGTTTGCTGATAATGAAATCACCTTGTATATGTAATAATAATTCAATAATATAAAAGTGGGTGAAGGCGTCGGCGGTTGTATAAAAAGCATTTCCGGTGCGCCGGTCCTGTGCGCAGAATCGCTCTGTTATTACTCCGATCAAATCCATTGGCCGGCAACGCATTTCCCCTCGAGTTTCCGGCATGTCCAAGTCCGCCGCCCGGCCGTTCGGGGTTCCGCCTACATGAAAGTTATATTACTCTCACACTTAACGGACCTAAACGCATACGCATGCGCCAGTTCAATAATTGTTCATAATATTAGATTAACGACAACGACGGCTTTGAAATTGTTTAAAGCAAGCGCACTCGTATCCCTTTATTCGTGTAATTTGATTATATTTTATAATATTATATCGCTTCCGCACCACTATATTATAGTATATTACATTATGCGAAATAATACTTCTTAATGGCGTATTGCGGTCCGTGCATGCCACGCATATACCAATATACTATTATGTGTAGATGTATGTGGTTGGCGAGTGTCGGAGCAAAACATAATATTTTAACATTATAATGCCTTAATGCCTATTATATGCGTATGTGCAATATTATTATAATAATAATATGATCGTGGTTTTTTTTGAAGAGTTAAACAATTTTAAAAAATAAATAAATTTAAGTTTTTTTAATATTTAACATTAGAAATACATAAATTGTGTGCTTATTTTTAAACCATCACATTGTTGTATTGTGTAGGTGTATATAATTACAAAAATTGATGGAAAGTAAGTACACAATGAAAACTATGCGATTGGAAGTATAGAATGTTCTATGAGACGGCTGAGAAGATACATAATATATCATATTGGGAAAAATTGTATGGGATAAACTTTTTACACTCAAATTTATATATTATTATTTGTATGTACTCAAATTGTACGGTTGATTTTATATTCTACTCAAAATAATGCTATTGGACTACTTAATTGGTAAATTGTTTGTTTATACAGTTATACACCGCGGAACTCCACAGTAACTATCATAATATCTATACCTTTATACATAATTTTTTTCTATTCAGCTAGGTATAAGGAGTGAGGACTCAATTATAGTTATATATATACAAATCCGAGAGAATGAAAGGGATATCTAAACAAAGGATTATATGAATATCGTATATATACA